GGGGGGGGGGGGGGGGGGGGGGTGACACGGAGAACAAATCGCTAAGGGCAAGGGGTGTGACCCCACAAAGGCGGACGGCCACCGGGGTCGGGGTATAGGGAGTGGGGAGGGGGTCAACGGTCGGACGTGTTAGCGGCAACAAGCAAGGGACACGGGGGCAGAGACAGCGAGTATCATAGGCTACAGCAAAAAAGGAACGGTTCAGAGACGAACAAGTTTTTGCGACGTATGCTGTTGGTTGACGGCGCCGTGGAGCAAGAGAAAGATTGTCAAAGTGCATGAGCGTGAAGTATAGTCTTCGATTCGGGGATGCTGTTGGGTCTGGGCCAGTACAGTTTATCTTGGATTTAGTGTGGAGAGTTTGATGGGAGGTCGCGATCGATGGAATGAAATGGGCGTAGAAAGAGGAGGAGAGAGACAGAGAGCCAGCGACAAAGAAAGGCGCGCAGAGTCAACGGACGACAGAGTTCATGACATTGAACCACAAGGACACGAAGGCTGCATGCCGCGCACAACCCCCAACTTTTTCTCCATCTTGCTACACGTTCACACGGTAAGGTGTTCAATCTCCGGTGCCAACGCTTGTCATCCTTTGATGCACCTAGGAACCCCGGACGTGCATCATGTACGAGTCCCCCCACCGCATCGCCGACACTCTCGGGGCCCTGCTGAAGGCGTCCTGTCCGCCCCCCTCGGAAGCTCTCGACAGTCGCAGCGGAACCGATTCGGGTGGTTCTCGCGAAGGAAACGAAACGCCGGTGTCGTCAGAGGCATGGCTCGCTGCCGGGTGTAGGTGAACACACGATTTCGCACAGCGGCGGCCCACCAACTTAGACGGGGGGTGTATACTCATGTCAACGCATGCCTTAGTCTGTACAGGAGCGGGGCGGGGGGAATGAAGCTCTAGTGGTGAGTGAAAGGCACGGTTGGCTGTGAGTGCCATGGCACATCCCGTGAGCACTTGTGTGAAGGTATTCTCCGGCGGTAGGTATAAGCTCTTCGTCTGCGCAAGCGTGCTTGCCCGGTTCGAAACGGCAAGGAAACGCGCTGCTGCCGCTGCTGCCGTACCTCTGTTCGGTGGGCGCTCCCACCTCTGCCCCCCCCCCCCCCCCCCCCCCCCCCCCNCCCCCCCCCCCCCGCCACCCCAGATCTCTTGCCGAAGCGGAACAAACGCTCATGATATGGCGAGAAATCTGGGGGAAGTTGAGCAATATTGGTGGAACTACCAAGGCATTCTGCGCAAAGTACATGGGCAGCTCGTTGCAGGCGGGTGAATGAATGGCTAGAAACACTCGTTGTCCCCCTGCCTGCCCCCCCGAACCAGCCACTTGACCCGAGAGGGGATGCGCCATAAGGTCCCCAGCCGAGCCAATCCCTTCGGTCGGGAAGAGACGCGAGGAAGCTGACATGGCGGTATCGCATGTGCGGGATGGGAGGAGAGGTTGACGAGAATTGTACGGGAGGCGAAGTGGGCAAACAAAAAAAGGGGTAGACAACCCACGGAATGGGTCAAGGTTGTAGAGGACGTATGGAAGGGGCTCGACATCGACGAAGATGAAACGCTGGAAACGGAGGGTCTAAAGGGGTTCAAGGAGAAGATATCTGTTGCTTGTACCGAGAGAGAAGAACAGAATCTAA